GTAGATAAAATAGCCTGATATAAAGTAAATGTGTTCGAATTTTTTTAATAAAAGAAAAATAAGAAACTCTTATATAATATAGTGGATCGAGTACAAAAATAACGCTTTGCATGGAAATTTTTATCTTACTTATTTCTGTAACATATGGGCTATTTATAGCATTTCAAATCTTTTTAACCGTATCACTTTATTCGTATGATCCTATTTAATATAGTCTTCATCGAGAATAAGTTTAATTTTCTTTTATTTTTAATGCTTTGCTTTTATAAAATATATTTTATATTTATTTAAAATCTTTTAAATTCTTTATTAATTAAAATGTATTAATTATTACTAGTTTTAATGTTTATTTATACGCAAATTGACTTTATTACACCTGCTTTTTACGTTCCGTATATCAATAATAGTAACGATACTTTCACGTTTTGTTGACATTACCTGTTAATTGATTACGTTTGAATATATTTAATTTTGATAATAACGTTTTTAAGTAAAAATCTGAGTATTTTTTCAATAAAAAATATTAAAAGGATCATATCAATCATTAGTATTACAAATCATTCAAGAGTTATCTCTAAACAAAACATTTAAACTACTTACCGTTTCTTCATCTATTTTTCTATGATAATGAACATAATAAATGCATTTAGTGGTCAATATCTATTACTTCTTTTCGTGAAATACTATGAAAGGTCAATTTAATCAATTCCTAACAAAGATTTATCTAAAAAGAGCCTTTTATCCTTACAAAATCTTTACTGAAGCTATATGAACATTCTTATATTTTCACTGATTTAAGTGAGAATTCATAAATAGTTTTTTCGAAAAAGTAGACTATACCACATTTAAAGATACTAGAATTAAAGGAAAAAACACGGTTATTTTTCAATACTATAACTTTTAAAGTAACAGAATAAGAAACTTTATACTGTAAGTTGCTTATGGATTAAATTTGATACCAGAAACAATAACTACAGGATTTGGGACATTTATTATTTTTGAAATTACTTATTTATGAATAATTTGTTATTTTATATTTAATAAAGAATGCGGATGTCTCTATGTAACATAAACAATATGCTTTTGACAATTTAAAAGTAAACGATATATTAGTGTTTTGTTTCAATATATAGACCTATATTTATTTATTTATTTATTTATTCAATAAAGCGAAAACAATTAGGATGAAAATACGCTTATTTATAAGAATAATTATGATTCATTTATTTATTTTTTGTTTTATTATAGGTGAAACGTAATAATTATTGTAAAACAGAGCATTCTCTTAGAGTATAATATTAAAANAGTAGTTAATATTTTTTTTTTTTAGTTGTAGATCCTCTTGGAATGGTTCCAATTTAAATACTGTAGAAATTATGCAGCATTGTAAGTTGTTAAGGGATTGAAAACTCCCTATTTAAAATGTCTCAAAACTTAAATTATTTTTAGACTGAACCTAAATTTTCTGTTGTTGCTGATACAAATCCCTAGCATCCTATTCTCCTGGGATACTATAAGATTTTAGCTTAATCTCTGATTCTTCAAGCACTCGAAAGTTTAATTATTTTTAATAATACATAATGTATTTGTTAAATTTTCAATTAATTTCTGCAAACAAGAATTCTAAAGAATAAAGTTTCTTTTATTTATTTATTTATTCAATAAAGCGAAAACAATTAGGATGAAAATACGCTTATTTATAAGAATAATTATGATTCATTTATTTATTTTTTGTTTTATTATAGGTGAAACGTAATAATTATTGTAAAACAGAGCATTCTCTTAGAGTATAATATTAAAATTTGAAGTTATTCATTGTAATTATTATAGGAAGCTCTGTATGGAAGCTCTTAAGAATGTTTTAATAAATTTAAAACAGAATTTTTAAAGGTATTTTGTACTAAATACATCATAACTTTAGATCTAAGAGAAGTTTAATCTACATCTTTGTTTGTTCAACAAATAAAACTTTGTTATTATAGTTCAATTAAATTAATATTTTGAAAGATAATTCAAATGATTTCTAATTTAATAAAGTAAGTGTATGTTTACAATCACAAATACAGTTTGTCTGCCTGTTTTTGGGATCGATAACATGCAAAAAAAATTTGTATATAGATCAACAATGGCGGGAAAAATGAACTTTATATAAGAGACACACTAAAAAAAATCCAGTCTATACTTAATTTTAATTAATTATTTTTCTTTTTTATGTTATATTATAAAAGTTATAGATACATGTGTCGTATTTAAATATATTTTTATAGTTTTATATTTTACATTTTTATTTTTTATTTTGTAAAGAAGAAAACGTTTATTGTAACCATTGTTTTAATTATTGTAAATTAAAAATAAATGTATTAAAAAATAATTTATAAAAATTAAATTCGAACATAAATAGATAATAATTTAAATTATAATTTTATTATTAAAATTAATTTAATTATGTAAAATGAATTAATTTTATGAATTTTTAAATAAGCTTTAAATGATCACCGCTAGATGGCATCAATTTTGTTTAAAGTAAATTCAATGTGGTTAAGAAAAGTAGGGCAAAAGTTAATGTTTCAGTTAGTTTATAATTTTTTTTTTCTATTGAAATTTAGTATTTGAAGATATTAAACAAAACAAAAATTTAATTATTGAATTTGTGGTTAAAATTATTTTTAAAATAGTTAAATTGTTATCGTAAGTTGAATTTTTTTTGATCGTTTAAAAACCTCTTTGAATAATTTATACGTACGTTCCACATAACAATAAAACAATTAGAATTATATAAAATGAGTTGTAAAACACTCGGTTATGTAAAAAATTGTCATGTAAATGCAAAATGAATGCTCCTGTTGTAAATCTGGTGTTCATTATTCGTTAACTGGCTTTACAGCTACGAAGTAAACAACGTTAGTAGAATGTCAAAGAGATACTTTTTTAAAATTTCAAAAAGGAAGCGTTAATAAATTTCTACAAAAGTAAACAATTGCTTTAATTGTCATTTAGATATACAAACCTTTATGAAAAAATATATATAGAGAGAGAGAGAGAGAAAGAGAAATTATATAGGTTTATTTAATATTGCCGCATTATGTAAAAATATTCACAAAAGGAAGAGTTTTTCAGTGTTTATCGTTTTGTTTTCGGTGCTTAAGTTGCAGATTATAAAAAGAGAAACAAAATCTGTAAACCATTTTACTCACACCTAAAATATTTAGAGACTATGTCACCGTCAAAATGAACCCAAACTTTCTAAAAATAAATAGAAGTTAACAACGTTCTACATCACTTTCCAAGTGTCGTGTTTTCCAATTGACTTTTTAATTCGTTTTGTTTCATTATCGGATCCACCCCGCCGCGTCCCGATTAACAGCTTATAACTGTACAGGTATATTTTATATTAGATGAGAATAGGTTGTATTTTTTCTACATTTTATTCGGTTAATCTCCTCATCAAGGTTATCGTATCACGTGTCCACTTATAAAGGTGACCTTGCCTAGCACGTGTTAATGGTCATCACATATAGCACCGTGCATATTCGATCATGATAATATCATGTGACGACTCACACATTGATCCTTATAGGGTTAAATCATATTTTATAAGGAACTGGACTATTAAATATCGTTTATAAATCTTATGTAAGGTAAGATAGGAGGGTGAAATGATCGATTCGATAAATAACATCTTTTTTAACTTCAGCTGTATTGTCCGAGCGTGTGTTTTCGCCTATGGGCGGTCGCATAGTCGGCATAATTGGACAGTTATTCGATTTACGGAGTGAGAATAGAGGTGAGACGAGACGAATCCACTTCCTGTGGAAGTTCAGCTCGCTGATCAAGGATTCGCTATTGCGCACGAAAATTCTACAGTTAAACATTACATCATTTTTACAGCATTACATTGGTCGATTTACAAGGAAGGTATGAATACTCAGAAGGATTTGATTGGCTATCATTGACGTCATTCTATTTTTACTCATTGCACGTGATAAGTGGGCTGTTCTTATATATATCCGCTAAAAAACATAGTTCCAGAATATAACAAATTTAACTCTTAAATTAATATTTATTTGGAGTAGTTATTAATTTTTTTTGTAATTTACGCTACTTTTTAATATACTTCGGGTGTTTTCGAGGAGTATTGCGAGAATTTTATGCTAGAAAACAAGCGCGAATCGTAGTAATACGCGAATAGGCTGAAAAGTGGTTCACCGGAGTATTTAAATGTTTGTGGCGGAGCATCTACGCTTCAATTGATGTTTTGACGTAGAGCGTTTGTTACGGCTGCAGACGACTACGATTGCCGAATCGTAACGATCCAGTCGGTTTAGTGTCCATAAAAGTTTTCACTTACGATTGTGTGCTTCCGGGCCGATAGCCCGTCTCTAAACAACGGCTACCTTACAGTCAGCGATTGGGCTGGACAATTTTGTTCCTTCACCATGTTATGGATATCCCACTGGCGGTTCTCCACAAATGTATGATATACCCGGTGTTGAAGAAGTGAAAAACGAATTGACTCTTAGAAACTGTAGAGAAGTTTCAACGCCTGATTTCACAGATCTCAGTACTCCAGAGGTGTCGTTCGATTTGCAAAACTTTATCAACGAGAGCGCAGCGCAAACAACTTTAGAGGACAATTTATTCGATTTGTTGCCCGAAAAGCAGCGTTGTTACAATCCCATTCAACAGGGATCTACTAGAGCTCCATTCGTTGGTTTCCCCATGCCCCAACAATCCATTCAAGCCAACAGATACGGTTCCGAAGCAGGATCACTGGTCAAGCAAGAACCAGCAGAAGGTCACAAATTAGAACTGTCGGATAACGGTTCCTCTCAGTCCACATACAATATATTCAACTATTCTCAGAACGATAACCTGATCAACCATCAGATCCTGGGTACCTATACGCCTTCTGGTTACAATCGGCCCGGCCTTTCCGGCATCGAAGAGGCCGCTTCTCCGTCGCATAATGGACAACTAAAATCTCCTACGTCGTCCATTGGTTCTTCGTCCTCGAAAAATAAGAAGAAAAACATTGATAAGAATTCCGACGAATACAGAAGAAGACGGGAAAGAAATAATATAGCCGTCAGGAAGAGTCGAGAAAAGGCCAAACAACGTTCACGTGATACGGAGCGACGTGTCTCCGATTTGGCTAAAGAAAACGATAATTTGAGGAAACGGGTAGACACTCTGACTAAAGAACTAGCTTTCCTCAAATCTCTGCTAGGTAATGCAGGAATATCGCCACAGAACATCGAATCCGAAATCGCCAAAGCTCTCCGTCAGGAATCTTTCCGATGATTTCCGACTTGTTGAAATCGCTTATTGTGGACCATTTTTATCGTTAGTTTTGTCGGTAATTTTTTATTTTCATAAATTTTGTTGTTGTAGCATTTTGTGTCTTTACGTCATAGTTCGTCTGTTTCATTTTCATGAAAAATCGCGGTTTTTTGTTGATAAAATCTGTCGTTTTCTTTTACACATGTCCGCTGTCTGGCTTATAACAGACAGTTGTAATCACCAACCTGTCAAAAGACATTTGTATAGAAGGAGAAGATTAAAATATTTTTGCTAATTTCTGAAATTTGTCTTTAGTTCTTTATTATTTTTATTTTTATTTTTTTACTTTATACTTCGGTTATTCGGATCATTTTAATATGCATGTTTAAAGGTTTTAATGTCGGTTATTTCTGTCCAGATGCATATCGTGCGGCTACTTTCAAAGTAAATTAGTTAATATTTGAATATTAACTTTAAAAATAAATAAATAATTGCTTTAATTCATAGTAAATACTTGGTAACATGTGAGATCCATATATTAAATTTTTAAAAACTTCAATTACGAGAGTTTTTTTTCGGTGCAGATCCATGATTATACTGTATTTTCCCTTGGAAATTTTTGATATTGATTCGATTTAAGAGATCAAATACGGCATTGTTGCATATAATCTACCTGTGTAGGCCTCTAGATTAACAATACGATGATGACGTCAAAACTGTCATTAGCATCCGGGAATTTGAAACATCCTTTCTATATAGAAACGAAACACTTTCGAGACAGAAATCGAAGCTGTAGATCATAATTTTAATATTTAATAATAATCTAACAACTTTTATTCATTTAAACTATTTTTTTTTCTTATGACGAACTTTGATAATGAAAATAAACGTTTTATTTAATGTTATCTCTATCTATCCACCTACCACTAGAGATAAGCCAATGCAACGTCATAACTGATATACGTTTTTATCGTTAGATATAAAGACATATTCCTAGAAATTAAGGCTATCGTAAATTTAGACAAGTTAGTTAATATATCGAATTTTAAATAAGATTATTCAATTTTGTTTTATATATAACTGAGCTTGTAAGCTTTGTTATTGTTAAGCGATGAATTATTCGATTTCAGTAAAGTTTTAATCATTTACATAAAAATAAAAATACATTTATTATTTAAAATATTAATAATTACGTAAAAATATTTAAGTATTATCATGCTATATCGACAGTTTTCGTTTTTCAAGGATAGTGACTATGAAAATTTATATAATGGTAAACAATTGAATATCCATTGCATGAAGTTTTTAAGATTCATTTTTTCATATTCATACTTGAAATTTTAAGAATTTCATAACTTAATTGTATAATTTTGATTATTTTATTATATAAATTAGAACAAGTCGTGCATCTTAAAAGTACCTTATATAAACACTTAATGCTTTTATATAAACAATATCATATCATCGATAAAACTAATTAAACCTTCTTAATTTAATATAGGATAATAATTGCTCTCTAGTAAATTTATCATATTTTTTAAACACAGGAAAATTACGCTAATGCTAAATATACACAATATCTACATTCCTGGATGAAGATTACTTATTACATAAAACTTATAGAGTATACATCGTTAAAGATTTAATACAGAATCCATATAAAATCTACTGTTGAGCAGAATCGATTTTTCGGTTTAATTAACTCATTTTAGAGAATCACGAAAAGATGTTGATAATTTTAAAATGTTATACGATATTTTACGATATACATATTAAGATGTAGAAGATTTATTAACAATTAGTAACAACAGAATTTATGCTTCTTTGCAGATATAACGCGAAATAATCATGTGATTGGAGAAATAAATTAGTTAAGATGGAAAAATAATTGGATACACTTGTCATGAGTGACAGACCCCTTACACTGGGTGTCACCAAAGTCATCAGTCATGAAGGAATTCAAACTGCTCTGAAATGTATTCCAAAATTGGCATAAATGGGAGAGTGTTAAAAGAGCTGTCTAAACATCGGAATTGATTATAATGTATAACATGATAGCATGCAATTTGAACACAATAAAATACAGCTAAATGTCTATTAGTAACTACAGTCCAATAAACACTGTTACTTGTCCAGTATCTACTGGACTGTAACGTTCCATGATTTATGTTTATCCTAGTGAAAAGGGGGAAAAACAACCATTATTTTAGTTATAAGTTTCATGTATTTGATTATGATTACACTAAATTTTAATTTAAATATTTCAGTTTTAATATTTTAAAAAATTGCTTAAGGAATCTACTCTAAAATTTAGCGAATTAAGTTCCATTTAATAATTAAGAATTACAAGCGTTTAAGAAAGAGTATGCAATCTTCATCGTAAATATTCCAATAAAAAAAGAAACTTTAATTATATAATTAACACTGTTTTGTATAATAACAGTTTAAGTACTCCTAAATTCTAATGGATATTAGGACATGACCAACTAACTAAAATAACAGCAATAGTCTTGCTCTAAAAAAAATAACTATTGTTAACTGGTGTCAATTTAAACATTTCCTTTAATATCCTGATATTTAGGCATCACAATAGATACTGATTGTTATGACCTGGTTAATTTTATATGTTTCTACTGGATTTATATGTCGCGATGCATGATTCATATATGTAAAACACTTAAATTAAAATTAAATTTAGTACTAATATAATTTTACTTGTTTTTGAAATGGAAATATCAATTCCACTTTTTCCTTATTTAATGCATGTAACTGATATATTAAGAAATTAAAAAAAATTTTTTTCTTTATAATTAATATATAAATTATAAAATGGCACATTTCTGAGTCCTATATTTGTTATTTATAATATAGAATATATTTGATACTTTTATATGTAGGCTTATCTAGTAAGCTTATCCTTTGATAAAATGCTCACAATATTATATATATATATATTGTTGTAAACATTTTTATTATATATAATTTATAGGGAAAAATATTTTATAGATTACAATATTAAAACAAAATTTTTTATAGTTTTATAGCGTAGAAAAATTGAAAGAAAATAATGTAAATTAATCAACCTTCACTTTATTTAATAAAAATAAAAATACAAAAATTTTTAAACCTTCAAAATAATTTGTCAACAAATTTTAGCACTAGACATGTCATACACATGAAATAGTAAAAAAAGGTTTTGAATAAATGCCAGAATTTCCGTCTTAACTGAAACGAACCTATCCTGTAATTTCCATATTTATATTTTAGTTTAAACAATGTGGCAAAATGAAGGCTTCAGATATATAAATGTTTACTGACCCGCTTTTTAAAGCTGACGACCCAAATCCTTTAACAGAAAAGAAGAAAAATAAAAATCAGACATTATATTAATTCAATGGCTGAGTCAGAAATCCAGATAAATATAATTTTGTTTGAGATAATGGACTATTAATTTTCTATTCGCGATTTCTCAGGTCACGAAATAACTCCTGAGAAATACAAGTTGTTGAATGTCAGGTGAAATTATAAGTTTGTTTTAACCAATCAACGTTGTTTATTTTAAAATTGTGACGTTCTCATTTCCCTGACATACTAAGAAATCACGTGAACAAAATTTTCATTTTAACCCATAAACTTATCGATATGAACATTGGACCATATAAATAAAACGTAAAACGCCTTTAAATAGCGTATAAAAATATTTAAATTGTTAATTTGATTTTGTTTTGTTTTCTTTTGGCTAATTATATTTTTAAAAAATGAATTTTAAATATTGAAATTTGCATTTATAAGAAATAGACTTGTAGTTTTTGTTAGTGTATTTTAAAAATAAATTTATCATTTAATATTACTTTTTTTTTTTTGTTTTTTAAATGGATGAATAATCTCTTTCATGCAAGGGTTTATCATTTTCAAAATAAATAAAACTATTACATAGCCAATAAAAGTAAATAAAGCATACGATTTCAGACTATACAATAATATACATTACGCCTTAACTTTTTAAAATACAAATTTTATTACTGTTTATAATGCGATTAATAAAATAAAATTCACGCTTTAATATCAATCTTCCAACTAAACTTCTCTTCTTCTGAAAATTACAAATATGAAGTTTGAAATATCTACAAAATAAACTTAAAATAAGAGAATATAAACTATATTAATTGCCAATAATGTATATATTATAAGCAGTAATTATGTTTAAAGCTTTTAAAAAATGCATATTTTATCGCTCAGTGATAGAAAACTTCATTTTTAAATCTAAAATACAAAGAAATGAGTATTAATAAAATTTAATTAATTAAATTTCTTCATTTATATTCTACTTTTAAAATGTTTTAATAAGAATTATATTTTTATTAAATGCGTTACATCACATTTTAGAGAAAAAGATTTAAAATCCAATTCGTTTCTGAATATAAACATCAAAACAAATTAATTTTCTACGATTAAATTTCGTTTAAACTATCTAAAAATAGAAAATTAGATCCTATTAACGATCCAAACTTATTGGATATCGTATTAAACACAGAAAAAAAAAGGAATTTTTTAATGTTAATACTGTCAAATTAATGACGTCAACGTATCCTGTTATCACTGTTTAAAATCAACCGTTTAATATTATATATAATATAAAAATATTTAAATAAAACAATTCCGGTTTAGAAGCGAATGCATAATTTTACATATACGTTATTAAATAAAAGATCTAAAAAAGGACAACTATTCTCCAATAGATCATACATAAATCGTGTTTTGGGTCACGTATATTGTGCCCCGCTGTTACATAGTAGGTGGTTATTATATATGCATGTGTCAAATACATATCACGTGTTTAACATTTGAAATACTTCTTTGTATCGAGCAGAAAAAAAAAATTAGAAAAAATATTTTTCAAGGTTACTTTTAACACCTGACAATTAATTTATTGAGAAGAGAATAATATATTATTTATTTTTATAACTTATGAATAAATTGACTGTTTATAGTATATTTTTAATTGTCAACCAAATATATTTAAATTTATTTTTTTGGAATAAAAAATAAAACAAATCTGGAGTCAAATTTCTTAGAAACACCAAGAGCACTTAGGTCAACACTTTTCCATGAGAAACGAGGACAAATGCTCACGTGACTCTAAATTTTACTTTTGTTAACTAAGTTTTTTAAACATTTAGAATGTATTAGCGAAATTATTTAAAGTTTTTTAATAGTAAAAAACAAGTTGTTGGAAAAAAACGAAAAATAATAAGAATAACAGCAACACGTTTCGCCTACAGGTCACGTGACGCGCTATATATCTTTACGCCGTTGATTATATAACAGGGGATAGAGAATAAGTGAATGGAGAAAGTAAACAAGTTATCCAGGACGACAATGCCTTGCAGCCTAAGAAACCAAGGACATATCTAACTCTTTTCTATTTCATGTCTTGCCGTGAAGTGAATTCGGGTTGCCGACCTCACTAACTTCCATTGACGTCACTTTGACGTCACCACTTTCATCCTAATGGGGTCATGTGCGCTAACATCGAGCTGTTTAACTCTTTTTCTTTTTTCAAGTTTGGTTTAGAATATATTTAGGCAGAAGAGGGTTATATAAGGCGTTGAATAAGTATTATCGATTTACAAAGATCGTAGCAGTTCGTCCTAGATCTTTTTTAATGTGTTTTTACAGTTAAAGAAACGGGTGTAATAACGCTATTCTTAAGAAACATTCCTAACTTTTAAAATATAATTTTTAGTAGGATTAAATTATGCTTAATGATTTTTCTTATGCCATTAAGATTAACCAATAGCGAGTTATATCATAATTACCTGTTTAGAAGCTTTTTTTAAAGATGTTAGATTCCATCCTTATTTATTTAGGTCAGTGTCGCGCCAAAGGGTGGTAAAAGTATCCCGTGGAAAGAAAAAAAACTTACGAAAAAATCGATTGAATAATAATAAGGGCCTAAATTCCATTTCTAAACAGATAAACAAGTAAAAAGTTGACAAGTTATGCAACAAAAAATTTTACATCATAAATAATGTAAAAAAAAAACCCATATAAATTTTTTATTTATGAACTGTCTATTTTTAACAGTCCAGTCCGTTTGTAATTAAACCTGTATCAACTTGGGTTTTTCCTATTGAAGAAGTATACTCCCTTTTCATGGGATTGTCAACTATGTATCGAAAAGGAAATGATTTTTTAAAATACACTATGTATACACCTGCAAGGCTAACATGTAAAACTTACAAAAATATCCAACAGATTATCTTTAAGAATAAATTTTATATGGTCTGTTGAAAAATAATTTATTTTTCATGCTTAAAATTTCCCATGTGGAATCTACAGTTGTTTAACGTGTCAAGAATCTGTAATACTTCATTATTCGCGACGTATTAGATCCGGTATTTAACTCTTATATTAATTCAGTATATATGTATTTTTATTTTTATGTCTGTTATGGTTTGCAGTTTCGTTCAATTGAGAAAAGGGTGGATTATATTTATGAATACAATTTCCCATTATTGATTCGAGAATTTATAGCTTTTCATTGCATTATGAAATATTACTTTGGCCGTAATAAAAGCATAGAAATTGTAAATTAGGAAACAAAATTAGACAAGTTTTTAGGTGATTTAAACACATATGATATTTGTTTTAAAAAAGGAAAATAAATAGATTAATTTTTTTAAAGACTGCGCGATAAACAAACTAATTTTTAATATTATTTTACTTTTAAATTACAAATTAAAAAGATAAATTATATTGCTTTCAAAGAAGCATTCCTAGGCACATATCTGTACGAGGAAAGCGAAAGGAACAGAGATTAGAAAAGGTTCATTTCTGAGTAATAGAATCATACCTAGAAGTGAAAGGAAGGAAAATCCAAACCTTATTATTGGTATTGCAGCAGCAAAGTAATAGATATTTCTGGCTGTAGCAAAACGGTATATGAGTATTGATTTTAATGTAAAATAATTTTAAGTTGCGTTGTATACAGTTTAAGTTGGTTGTAATAAAAAATACATTAATAAATATAGTAAATAAAATGGGTAATTCACTTTACAAATAACTAATTCTAACGTAATTTGTATGTAACTTATAAGATAATTTCAGATCATTCCTTATAAATGTATTTTTAATAATAAATTAATTGGATAAACTTAGGGTGTAAGTGTTGTTACATTGTAAGTTTAGAACTTTATTATCAGTGTTATCTATTTTCTGTTTATAAGATATCATTTTAAATTAGAAATTTGTAAACATTCTTCTATAATAACAGATTTTGAAAAAATCCATAAATTTTATTAATTCTATACCTTATCATAAAATTAAAAAAGTATATACAGTATTTATAAACAAAAATAAATCTAAGTAAGAAAAATTACTAAAAATTTTCTAAATTCAAACAACGAAAAAATATCCCTGGTTACAAAATATAGAAAAAATATATATACAAGTATATTGATATATTTAATATTTATATATTTAAAAACTATGCGCTTTCCAGTCAATAAGTATTTATACTTTCTGACAGATATAAATTCGTGAAAATACTAAATGTTTAAAACATAAAAGTGCTGTTTAAAAATACATTATGACTTCGATTGTAACAACAATTTTTTATTTATAATATTTCGCTTAAATGTAGGCCTAGGAGTAAAATTGGCCTTTGGATTGTTTACATTTTTATCTTTTATTGATTAAAGAAAATACAGTCTGGCAAACTCGAGAAAATATCAAGATGTGGATAGAAAAATGATAAAAATTTTAGCTGAAATGTGTATGTATATATATTGAATTTCTACAATAATAATAATAATAATATATAGCCTATATACGTTACGTTTTATTTTTACTTTTCACACTACCATTAATATATAATACTGTATATAACTTTAATAAATTAAGTTAGATTCGTTTCATGAAATTAACCTATATTTTATACTGACATAAATAGATTAATAGGCTATAAAAATAATAGAAATAAAAGTAGAATTTATATTTAGTATCTATAACTTAAATTCTATTTTTCAGAGTAAATTAGTTTATTTGATATACAAACAACAGGAAAAAATTCGAAATTATGTTCAAATTCTTTCTTATTTAAAACAAATGGGACAAACGTGCAAAAATCTATGTAATTAAAAATGGCAAAAAATAAAATAAAATTTATTCTCTTTTAATTTTTAATACTTTGTATAATAAATGTATTGTTTACAAGTAGCCTAAATACTAGCTATAAGTAGTGTAAGTCTGTAATTACCGAAGAAAAACGTTTGTGTTATGTAAGTAAAATTCAACATTCAAACAACTGTCAAAGTTTTTATTTAATTTTGAAAATAAACATATTATCCGAAAGTTTTATAAATATTTTATAATAACTTTGACAAAACTTCACAGTCCATTTTTATCGGTATTAATAAGATCAATTAATTGTGTCACAGATTGAATTTGCGAGTTTTTTGCATTATTTTTTATGGGCTTAACTTCATCTATATCATTTATATTATTAATTACAGACACATACGATTCATTACTTGTGTCGCTATCTATGTCTGTATCTGATTTTAAAGATTTATCTTCGTTATCTTTAGTTAGAAGAGAAATCTTATTTACATTTTTTGTGAAAGAAGCTTGGTAATTTTTTAATGGTGTCAAATGGTTTCCCGAATAGGAATTTTCTTTTTTCATGCATTTATAACCTTGTGCAGATTTTTTAATCTTTTCTGGTATGTTGGTGAACTTTTTAAGAATTCCATGTTCGATCTCATGTGAAGAATCTTCCGAATCACAGTTTCTACTATACCCACGATCGAATCCTGCTAAATCAATGCTATAATAACGATGCAAGGAGGAATTAATGTGAATATCGTCATCAGCATAATGCAATTTTTTTCTAGTTGTGAGTATCAAACATCCAATAATTAAAGCAATCATAAATAAAGAAACGTAAAGTGCATTTTCTTTTTGAGGAATTGTAGAATATAAACTCTTTCTTGTTACAATTCTATTTGAATGGTTTGTTTCACCAGAAAATTGTTTATCAGATGTAAGATTATAATCCAAGCTATTACTTAAATTTAATAATTTAAACGTTTCTTTTTCTACAAGTTCCAGGGAGGCATTTATTTTCTGGAATTTCTCAGTAAGTTCTGTTACAGCAACTGTTGTACCTTTCAAAGCTTTTTTGATCGAATGCTTTCTCTTTTGATATTTCACCTTCTGAGAATTAATTACTTTTATTATATTTTTAGGAGGTAAAACAATAACTTCATAATTTTCTTCGTATATTTTCCGCATGAATTTTTTTCTGTGATTTTTAAGCTTTTTACTTTCAATATTTGATAAGAAAGTCAAAAATGATAAAAATAATAATTTAGCATCTCTTGAATTTTTTTTATTACGAGATGATAGGATCATTTGCTTAAATTTTTGATCTCTCAAGGAATCCATTGGGTCTTTGTATGTCTTTGGCTTCTTTCCTATTTTATTTATGTATCCTCCTTTTCTTTCTATTTTTGGTTCCTTCATTGTCTCATATAGGAAGAATGGAAGAAATTGAGTCATCAACATTTCTCTGAGATTTTGTTTAGGAATAAACCGAAATGTCGGACTGCTGTGAATATTTATAAGTTTCTTCCGACTGTTATTATTATTTCTTTGAGAATAATGCATAAAGACCCCACTTCCTCCTTTACTTTCATTATAATTATCCCTATCATTATCCAAATTAAAATCTTCCAATTCGGAATTATTTTTCGATATAGTTGAGAATTTTTCGAGTGTGAAATTATCAGGGGAAATCACAAATGATTTCACAATTCCGAAAAACAACAGAACACAAATTAATATCTTCATTATTTTCTTTAATTGCTCACAAATTATTTACTTGAGATACTTTTTTACTTGTAATGAGACTAAAAAAAACACAAATAATTATTATATACAATAACGTTAGGCTGACTTATAAAATATATTATATTAAAGTATAAAAGTTTCAATTTTTACTGAAAAATTCATTCAGTATCTTTATTTTATTTTTATTAAGATATATTATATAAGCTATTAATTGTAATTGTATTTTAGCACTACAGGGCCATTACAAATTACAGATTAATGTAAAAAATAGGTTAAAGATGTTCAATATACTTATTAGTTAAAGACAGAGGAAGGTCTGTCGCCGTGAATGTGAAGTCTGGAACACGAAAAATAAATGGTGGCCCCTTTTTGGGCAGACTGTCTTTAACTAATAATAATAATCTCCATTAGACGAAAATTTACAAAATGTTCAATATACATTAGAATACATTGATAAGACCGGATGGCTGAGACGAATAAGGCATTACACTACCGCTTTGGGGATTCCGGAATCGAATCGCGGTCAAAAAATATTAAGAATTTTTCGAGGGTCTATCCCGGATATGTAGGATCCCGTCCTTCACCATCCGGTCACCCTCATTGTGAGCGTGGTCGAACCCATGATGGGTATGATTAAACGCCCTTGTAATGCCCATAGAGCTAGAAGGATCAAAACGAAACACAAATCTCTAGATTAATAATTAGAAAGAGCTTTGTAAATGCTTATATTTGATACCTACATTTTGTACATTCTTGATAAAAAAAATAAATATTAAGTTCATTTTTACATTATATGGTATTATTCCAATCAACATATCAAATATTAGAACAGTGATTAAGCAATTTGTTTTATTAATTAAAATAAAATTGTATGTTTTAGGTAATACTTTCAGTTTCAGCAGAATATATCCATAACTTTGAATATTCACTTCTGACGTCATATATGAGTTATAGTGGTATGAGACTCTCCTAAAGTGGTGAAGTATAGATGATTCATTTATTTGGAATTTACATAGGCGATTCAGCTTATAAATCTAACGTTACCATGTGTGCCATATTCAAATAACATTCTTAGTGGACAAATATAAAAGAAATTAATATGCAAAGTCTAACTTTGCCAAGTATTTTTATCCAGATGTTCTTTTTAAAATAGAAAGTTCCCAAAATTTAATATCTTAATTCTTAACATTTTTAAAGATAATATCCATTTTGGTTATAATAACTGAACTGTTTAATTTTTAGCGCTAAGTCCTTATATGTATACTAAAATATGTAAAGAACGTTAGGAATTTTTACTATTAGCACAGTTAATAGAATCCAAAAAAAAAAAAATTAATTTCAAGGAAATTTTTGTCTCATTCTATAACAATTACAACTTAATGTCTTTAAACTGTTAAATATAATTTTTATAAATCTTATAATAATTCTTATAAATCTTATAAATAAAATAGGTTATGTATATGCTTATGTATATACCTTATTTAACTTTTACTTTCGTTAATTCAGAATTCTTCCTTTCAAATGCCTTAACAATATTTTAGCTGACGTTTTATTAAAGTAATAAGTATTCTATTGTTAATATTTGATTGTTACTTTTAACGAAAAGCTAAAGTAATATATTCTCAGAACGATCTTACTTATGGACAGTTATTCGTAAGGTCAACTAATTAACCATTTTGGAATGAAGGAAAAAAAAAAAACTAATAAATATCCGGAAGTAATTTAACACCGTAATACTAATAAGGTCATAAAAAACGTAAATCTGTCGAGCCTTCTATTAATTTGGTTGCCTTACATAGTGTAATATGTATACAGAATTAAAAAAAAATAATATTTCGGAGGCTCGCAACTCGTTTCCGTGCGTCATTTCCGGTTAATTTTACATTAACTATGTCACGCGACCGGAAAAGGCAAGGACGTCGTCCTCACGACAATTGATAAATTTTATAAAGTTAAAATTTTGAAATTACGGAATTGTATTTATATTATTTTATATTTATAATTATTTAAATTCTTTGTTTTACATAAAGAAAATTAAGTAATGTGTCCTATTATAAATCAATAAACTTTGTCAAGATTTTAGGAATTTAAGAGGCGAAAGTGAAGTTCTATGGCCAATTTTCTTGTATTGTTTAACCTATATGATGTTTAAACGACATAATAAGGTCACCCCATTATTAAATCCATTAATCTAATTTATCAGATTGAAAACAACGAGTTAAGAAGTGTAATTCAGAGCTCATCGGTCGTATCGAGAAAGGAAATAAGAACATGTCTCCCCTGACCTATTGATCCTGAAAGGAGAATACTTCTTTAATAATTTGTAAGTAATTAATTTTATTAAGATACAAAGCAATGATGAAAAATTAACAGAGAAATGCTTACTTTCTATTTTATTTATTTTTTCCCCCTCTCTCTCTGTCTTCCGGAATAGTTGAAACTGGTTAAACATAATTAAAATTTAGGATGTTCTGTTACTGAAACTATTATAAATTTAACTATAATTAATCTAATTAAAGAACATTAAGTTCATTTATGCTCTGAATATCAAATTTCCGTCTTCTCTATCGTATGTGCGTATGTTTTTCAAAATTAGATGTATAGAATTTAGTAAGGATATTGTTACTACAGTTTTTTTAGTAGAATAAAAACCTATTAACATTAAAAAATAAATTAAAAATTACTTTTTTACGCAATTAAATTTGTGTAGAACATAAGCACGTTATATGATAGTGTATCATGAATGTTTTTTTGAAATTTTAATTTTACTGAATCTATTCTAGTAGCTAAAATATATAGCTTATTACTCAAGATTTTATCTTGGATAAAATTTTATCTTGGATAAAATTTTATCATAGATTTTATCTTGGATAAAATCTATGATAAAATTTCTAAATAAAAGTCTTAAAATTTTATTATATTTTTTTATAAATCAGGATTAGATTTAAAATAATTCTGTATATTAAACTTACTAAAATTATTTTAAATTTAATATCAATAAATTATATTTTAAACAAGTTATTAATACTTTCGAATAGCACGATTCGTGCCGTGTTTTAATTAGTAACTAGTATATAAATATAATCCGAAAAGGAAAATTTGGATCAAACTAAAATAAAATTTTTAATCTTAATTTATTTAAATTTAGCATTAAATATTATAAACTATAATTTAATTTTATGTTTAAATTTGACTTTATTATTTTAGTCATCGAGCGAAATACAGTCAAACCTCTGAAAAACGACCAGGGTGATGGGAACATAAAAATGATCGCTGTATGGAGGTTTTTGTATGCATTTATAAAAAAGGCCGTTATTTAGAGGTTCGACTACATTATAAATAATACTTTTTCAAATCGTACAGTTCATAAGTGTTTAGGTTAATTAACGATTAATTAATGATTTTTGTTAAATATACACCAGAATATGAATATTCGACAATAATTATCATTCATTACATGGTAATGTCCTTATATACCTTTATGTTTTTCTGATAAACTACATAATTTAGTACTATTAAGAATTTCTATGACGTAAATTTGACGATTAATACCACGAAGACCTTTGAAATTATATTAAATTTTAATGAATATTGCAAAATATAGCCTATATACACACACGTATATTTTTTTTTAGAAATTTTGAGTTATATTTTTATCGCAACAATTGTAAAAATACGTTTATATATTAAAAAAAAGTATTACACTCTTAGCGGTAATTTTTAACGTCCTCTTCTTTAATTCGCTATGTTATGACGAAAAACTATTATTTATTACGTCAAAAAAGTAAAAAAATAATAAATTTAAATGAACCTGAAATAAGTGTCCTTCAGTTTATTCATATTGTTTAAAAATAGATTTTTAAATTAACATCGAAGTTAATGGACCTTTATAGAGATTGTTAGTATATTTATTATAATATTCAACTATTACACATGTAAAAAAATATGTGATTATCAAAATTAACTTCTCTATAATGACAAAAAAAAAATCTAAAATTCTTCGTCCTACTTATAAAATGTTGTCCGAGAAAAATATCATTATTAATGCTGTAAGGCCTTGAAACTTCATTGAAAATATATAAGCTGGAAATGCCAAAAATATATTAAAACGTCTGTTTATGATAAATATTATTTTATAAATATAATAATTTTGATAAATACATATATTAACATTGCAAATAAGGAAAATTTTGACATAATTTTATAATTATTAAACTCATAATTAATAAAATTAACCCCATCATTTTTAACTTTTCCATATTAATTTTCTTATATCTAAGAACATTTTCTAATCTTATAATAATAATAATCATTATAGTCATAATTATTATTATATAACTTTTTTAAATTAAATATTAAATATTTAAATTTTATTAAAATAATCATATGTTTAATTAAAGTGGCTAATTTTAAAATTATACAAATGCTAATTGTAGAGCGACTATTTATAAGGTAACCAGTTCCTTAAGGAAAATAAAGCTTTCTTTCTCCAGGAAAATAGCTCTGTTCCGAGAAACCGTTTTTCCTTCTCTCTTCTGGCTTCCAATCAATAAACAAACTGCCAAAACGTAGTCACCACCTGTTTTATTGCAAAGCAGGATGATAGAAACTGGTAAAACCATGAGTCCCAGGAACCACCGAAACGTCATAGCTACGTAAGAAAGACCTTGCGTCACGTGTTGACATCACGTGGCCTTCGGAATAACATCTGTTTTTTTTGGTTCACTTTTTAATCCTTACGTTTTTTATACAATGATTTCATACTTACCAAGTAATTCTAAATTGTAATAAGTACTTTATTTTATAAAGAACAGCATCTGATAAATAATAAAACCGTTTGACGATTATCTTAATTATAAATATAAATTTTTGAAATTTCTAATCACGTAGATCATTTGAAAAAATTCAATCACGTTTAAAATACTTCTGCCCACATTTAATAAATATATAAGATTATTATATGATACGGTATTTTTTTAAAAGCATAATCAAGTCACTAATTATTTCCGAAATGTTCTACGTAGGAAAACTAGATTTACCACATTGTTGAAGACATTTACTTAATAAGTGGATCTACAACAGTTTACTAAGTTGATAAAACTTAATAATTAAATAGAAAAAAATCCTGTATTTGGATATCGTTGCGCCCATATCTATTACTAAGGATCATTCATAGGCTTATTCGATACTGATATGAATGACTCTTAGCAATTGTTAACAGCTATCTGAATTTCTGTGTTAGATAATTATTACGACTTATTATTAAAGATCTATAAAATTTATTAATGATAAATGTAATTCTCGATTTTAGTTTATATTTAAATGAATAAAGTTCTAAATAATTAATTCGTTAATAAAATAATTTTTGAAATTTTAAAATACTGTATTTACTTTTATTAAACGAAGGAATATAAAGTTTAATATATTTACATTTTATATATTATTTCCATTTATATTATATCACAGAACAGTTTATTCGAAAAATGGATTTAATCATTATATCAAAAGTACAGTACACGTAATTAATTAATTGGTTAGTATGCTGTATAATTAATTATTCAATCAATAAATTACAAATAATATAATTAAATTTTCTTAAATATTTAGCTAATTGTGAATCAACTAGAGTAAATTTATAAAAACTGATAAGATAAGAATACTGTACAAAAATTTAATAATTTAAAAACGAAATCGAAACGATTTTATTTGCTTAGCTAACAAATTTTGCCTGATTGAGAAGTAATGAATTAAGCAATTTTAGAATTTATCTAAGTCAAAATTTACAAATTAAAGAAATCAACAAGCGAGTTCAGATGAACTGAAAATATCCAGTTAAATATGATTTATCATCATCATCATCATAAGGAGCCATCTCTGTTAAGAAGATTGGCCACCATTCCGTGTTACATCACCATCTTGTGTTATTCTTTTTAACTTAGGGTATTTATTGATGCCAGTCCAGGTCTTCACATCACCAAACTAGATTTTTTTGCAGTCTTTTAATTTTTGGGCATCTTCTATTAAAGCCCTCTAAAGTTAGGAGAGAATTCTCACTGAGGGACTCTCTTAAACATGCTTTGAAACATTGCTTTGAAAGTAAGCAATAGTTAGTTCGAGCCCTTTTCCAGACTTCTTCATTTGAAACATTTTATCCAGTTGATCGTTAGTATGCAGCGATCAATAGTATTCATTCTCCTTTTTAAATTTTTTGTAATAGCCTATTTTTCGCAGCCATAAGTCAGATGTAATTTTTCAAACTCCCTAGACTTTAGTGACCTTCTTAGGTCCTAATCTAGAAATTATTTGCAGTTCTAAAAAGTCTGCTTAGCCATTCATATTCGCGAAATAATTTCTTTTCTGCTTGTTCCATCATAAATCAACAGGAAGCCTAGATTTTTAAAGGAATCAATCACATCTACGTGTATGTCATTTATGTCAACATTAAAATTATTATCGTGATTGTCGTTGTTGACCAAGGTCGTGCCGATAGCTGAGGGGCTATCCATTAATTACGTGTATAATTTAACAGAGGGAGGAATCAAGACATTGTTTACGTGGACTTTTTTTAGTGGTTAAAAAAATACTTGCAGAACTTTTTAAAGTCATTTATTTAAAATCGGGGACCATAAAATATTGTACATGTAATTAAAGGGGATAGTTTGCTAAAAATACAATACATCGCTGTACACAATAGAGAGGGAAGGGGACAAATGGCTCTAAAATAGTACACGTAATGGACGGTCCCTGAAGCAGAGAGACAACTGCCCTAGGCATCAAATTGGAAAGGGTACTGAAAAGGCGTCATAATGTTTATTGGAACATAAGTACTGTACATTTGCGCTGTTCTTAGTCTTGTCCTAGGCGCCAAAATTATTTTGAAAGATCCTATTGATGTCACTATCTTATTCCAGTTTACACAGATCTTTACCAATCTGAGTTCGTATGATTGACCCATGCTATAAAGTCTTTGTAAAGATCATCTTCCTTGTGATGATGACTATCATCTGCATATCAGATGTTGTTAATATTTTTGCCACCAAAAGAGATATCTTTAATATCTTTCAGTACTTTCTAAACCATCCTTATACATATTGAAGGGATGGAGAGAGATCATACGACCTTCCCTAACGCTTCATTCGACATTAAACCAATTAGTCCGTTCATCTATCCTAAAGGCATGTTTGTTATACTCTTGTTTTTTTGGTATACAGCTTTTTATTTATATCTAAGTCAAATTTGTTTATCCCAATTTTATTGGGCATTTTGAAGAGTTTTTAGATGTGTAATTCTACCGAAAACGCTTAAAAAATCAACAAGTCATATGATTTATAGTTAAATAAAATTCCACATGCTCTTTATTTCAATCAATTATTAAATTTAAAACGATTAATCGCTAAAACAATCAAAAATTAACTTTAGCATTATACATTTCTAAGACAATAAATGGTTTGGAGTCAAAACGACACTTTTAAAACAGAAAATTAATTACATTATAAATCTAAAAATTTAACGATATTTTTTAAAATGGCTTCTTAATTTTTACTAACTAGATTGATTCCAATAAACGGATTTCATATTATTCACATCCTGAAATTGATATTGATAGTATGTGGCTTCAAATTATAATCATTTATTTATTTACGGTTTTTGTTTTGGTTTCGAAAATAAATATAATTTAAAGTAAAATTATATGCGAAACGTTAAAACAAAATAAAAATATTAATTTAATTTGTTTTCCTTCGATAATAAAAGAATTAAACTATATTTATCGTTGCAAAATCTACAAAATAAATATTATTTTTATTATAATATAACAGTTATATTAATAACAAAATCGTGAATTTTATTTAAAGAATTTTGCTTTTAAGCACGAATTTAACATTGCTTTGAGTTGGTATATCAAATATAATTATATACGAAAATATTAATATTATATAAATTTAAATTTAAAAATTAACTAATTATTATAATGTTGTCTTCGAAGCATTTCTGTAAACAATGCCATAAAAAAATCGTCAAAATTTAAGATTTTTCTTAAAATATTTTGTGTTTAAATGCCTAGTAAAATTATTTTCATTTATAAACTTTAAAGTATATCAATTTATTAATTATTTAATGTTTATATATAATTGATTTATAACTGAATGTTATAAATCAATTATAACATTCAGTTCATTGAATATTTCACTTCTGTAGTTAGCAAAGATAACAAAATAGAAAAATTTAATTATATATAAATATATAAAAATCATAAACAAGTTTAATTATTATTATTATTATTGTAGAAAAATTATTTGTACTTAAAAGGTTTTCCCCGTTTATTTAAATTTTCAGAAACCATTTTAAAGTCAAGGAAATATACTACTATTAATTGTTACTACTATAATTCACTTTAAATAACAACAAATTAGATTTAAGATTTTATATACCTACATCGTAATTGCTATAGATAAAAAAATTCTATATTTTTGCACTTTATTTTCCATGTTTTTTCCATTTAAAATCCGAGAATATACCTGTATATATATATATAATTAATGTTTTCTGCCATTCTAACTCGTTTCTTACAAGATTTTTTTTTATTTTTGTGGCTGTTTTACTTCACGAAATTGCAATTTAATCTCTCGAAAAAGAAATATTCTAAGAATTGATGAAATTTCTTTTATCTAACAAACAACTTTGTCACGAATTGATTAAATGAATAAAAAACAAGTCAAAGCCTGTGAAGTATAAATTGTTATTCATTCAGATAATTGATTAGTCTATCTGGTTATATTTAAACAAGGTTATGATAAGGAAACATTTCATTTCTTTTCGAAGTCTCCTTAAGAATTGGAGTCGATCGGTAACATCAAATAATTTTTGAGACAGGAAATTGTGGGCGGAAACGATTAAAGTTTTAACAAGGTTGTTTATTCGTAAATGGTTGAATCATGTCACCGGAATTAGATATTTAAACAATAGATATTTAACTGTAGGTACACCTTACCGTATTTTTTTTACAGCATTTATGACTATTTATCTTCATACTTTGATCGGTGTTTTAATGTAACTAGTGAACCCGACGTGATACTTTGAATATGCATGGCTCACTTATGTTTTGTTACATAACCAGATATTTACGCTCGAAAGAACATGGGTAAAAGATCAGGGACACAGTTGCAACTCTAGATTTTATAATACGGAATAACTAGAGGTAAATAAACAGAATCATTTACTATAAGTTGATCAATCAAATCGTTAGTTTTCTGTTATTTTTTTGTAAGGCATTAAAAAAAGACATTTTAAGCTATTCTTAATATTTATTTAAAGAAACACGTTAACAATAGATAGGGAAAAATTAAAGCTATTCTTATCTCTTAAATATAATTTATGAATCATGCCTAAAATAATTCCTGGTTTGAATTCATTTTAATATTTTGAATGAAGAATCAAGGTAAATGATTGTTTCCTTCCATCCTCTCAATTAAATGCTGTTATTATTATTATTTAAATATCTAATATATCAGTATTTACAATTCGAATGAAGTGAAAGAGAAAGCTGTTTAATGTTCGTAAAGTGTAAGGTATTTAGGTCAATCTATTATTCATTCGAGAAATAAATAAATTACCGAATCCTTGGAATAGTCCCGGATATACCTGTATATTAATTATATTGTGCTGACCGTAGGGGTTTTTGAGTCATAATTGATAAATCTTCGATTAAGTTTAGTAGTGTTTGACAAAATATGCCTGTAGGCATATATTTCTATATCACTTTCATTCGCTAATCGGTTTAATGCGTACTGACTAAAACCTGCGTATAAGTAAAGTCTATACGCATATTGATAATTATGACTGTAAATTGAATAAAATATATTTTTCTTCTTTCAAAATTTGATACTCAACGATCCTTTTGGAAAGTAAAAAGACACCAGGAAGTTATATTGGAGTTGATAGAGATCATGTACTGTATGAACTTATGACTAATTCTGTACTTTACTGTAAACTTATCATACTTTAAAACTGATGTAATATCAACAAAACTGGTAATTTACTAAACAATGTTAAAAAATTTGAATTAGGTATAATATCCAGCAATATGCATAATACAAAATACAGTATGTAAAATCCTTAATAGTTTAGATTATTATAAAAAATTGAAGCATAAATTAAAGATTATTAAATATAATTTATGCTATATCTACTTGAAATTCCTAGTAACCCATTCAAATAA